TTTTGGGGGGAGGAAAAGGGGGCTAGCCCCCTTGTTTTGGCCCTCCACCCCTGCAGGCTTCTGTGTGCTGCTAATTGTATTGTGATGCCTTGGTCAGGGCCCCTCTGCCCCTCTTCTCCCAGTCAGTGTTGGCCCCAGCCCCAATCCCTGTGCTGTGTGGAGTGGACACCCTGACCCTGAAGCGGGGAGGGGCCGCTGTGGCCCTTGTCACAGCTGCGCAGTGCCCTTGGAGCACTGTTGCCACCCTGCTCTCCCAAGTTCTCTCTCCGTCCCTTTTCTCTTCCCGCCGCGCCGCTAGCCCGCCTCGGTGTCTATGCAAGGCCGCTTCGCCATTGCGGTATTCTTTGCGGTAATCTTTGCGGTATTCTTGTCCCCCTCCCCCAGAAGGCACGCCTCTCTCCCTGGACCCTGTTAACCCTAATAAAATTCTGAGCAAATTCAAAATGTCGCTTCGAGTCTTTTGTTTCGCCAGGGGCCCGGGCCCCACCGGTTGGTTTCCCCCAGACCCACACGGAGCCACCTGGCCTACGCAGTAGCCTGTAACAGTAGTTGCGGGGGTTCGGCGGGTGGGGGTCGGGCTCCGCCAGGCCGCAGAGACGTTGCGTCAGACCAATGCGGACCATCCTGGCCAATGGCAGGGCGAGGCTGAGGAGGCCCCTCCCTCTCCTGGCGCCCGCGGCGGACCCAGCCAGGTAGCAAAGGGCTTCTCACGCCTTCCCCTCAGGCGCATGCGCATAGAGACACCCTGCCCCGTAAAACATCATTTATCAGTGATTCATCTTTTAATTTATAGTGCGTCAAACCTTTCCTCGGGCCTAGAGTGATAGGGCCGTGCGGAGCCAAAGGAATCCATTTTCCTCATTCGTGTTTAATAAAAATAAAAAAACGACTTCAGTCCGGATATCACAACCCAATTATGCAAGAGCGCTCTCTTGTCTTCGGGAGCTGGTACAGTCCCTGGAGCGGGCGTGGGGAAGAAGACAGGAAAAGATAGCTCAGGCAGAGGAGTGTTCGTAGAGATAAAGGAAGAACAAAGGGAAATTAACTACGTAACTGTGCGAAGGGATGGAACGCAGGGAGTTGGACATCTGAAAAGCTTTATCCGGGAGACCTTGGAAAGGCTGAGTTACATTAAGTTTAGGTACATAAATTTTATCTCAGTGGGCGCCAGAAATATTTCCCAGATTTGTTCTGGATCACAATAACTTTTATTGAGACATCTGAATCGGTCTTTTATACCATGCCTCCGGAACTTTCCATCCAACGCCTTTATTTTGCTGGAAGGCTTCAGATATGGTTAGGTTAGATTTGCGTTTTAGAGAATGCCCTCTGCTGGCTGCCAGGAGAACGGACTGGAAGGAAGCAGAGCAGTAAGGAAATAGACGCTAGACCTCAGGTGAGATTGGCAAGATGGGGGCAGATACGGGAGGTTTTTTAAAATAAACTTAATTTCAGAACAGTTTTAAATTTACAGAATTATTGTGAAGATAACAGAGAAATTCCATATACCCCACAGCAAGTTTTCCTTATTAACAGTTTACATTAGTGTGATGCATTCGTCACAGTTAATGAAACAATATCAGTACATTATTATTAATTAACGTCCATACTTTATTCCGATTTCCTTAGTTTTAACTTAATGTCCTTTTTCTGCTCCAAGATTCCATCCAGAATAGCATACTACATTTAGTCATCTTTGTCTCCTTAAGCTCTTCTTGGCTATGACACTTTCTCAGGCTTTCCTTTTTTTTTAATGACCTGGAGTCATTTGAGGAGTACTGGTCAGGTATTTTATAGAATGTCCCTTAATCAGGATTAGTCTGATGTTTTCTTTCATGACTAACTGGGAATATGGTTTGGGGAAGGAAGACCACAGAAGTAAAATGCCATTTTCACTAGATCATGTCAAGGGCATGTACTATCAATATGACTTATCACTGTTGATGTTAACTTTGATCACCTGGAGGAGGTAGTGTCCATCAGGTTTCTCCACTGTAAAGCTATTCCTCTTTCCCTTTTTCCCTGCTGGACTCTTGGAAGGAAGCCAACTAAGTGCAGCCCATGCTTAAGGAATGAGGAGTTATGCTCCATTTCCTTAAGAAGGAAGTATGTATATAAATTAGTTGGAATTCTTCCACATGAGCAATTTGTCTATTCTATGAGAGCTTTCAAGATGTTGGACTCGACAGGCTTTAGATATGGAAGGAGATGAGTCAAGATGACTGCCAGGTTGGTGTGAGACCTTTGGCAAGTCCCCTTCCCTCTCTGGGTCTCCTCTGTGAGATGGTCGGAATACCAGATCCTGGACACATCTCTCCATGATTCTGATAAATGTTTTGGGGACAGGATGGAGGTTTTGATGCGCTGTCAGAGGTGGGTAGGGAGGACTGAGGCTCAGAAAGGGGAATGTCTTGCCCAAAGTAATGCAATACCTCAAGGCCAGAGCTGAAAGTGCAGGATCCTAAGTCAAGGCATCTTGTGTAGAGAAAAGAGACATCTACATGCAATATCTGGAGCCAACCCCAATGAGCATGAGGTGAAGAGGAGGGGAGGGGAAAGCAGCAGGGGCAAAGGCATTGGAGTAGGCCCGGAAGAGGTCAGCCTGCCAAAGGATCCTAGCCAATCAGAGCCAGAGTAGCCAGCCTGGTTACTCTTGCCTCAGTCGGCCCTACCTTACAACATGACTCTCCTTGTCCTCTCTAGAGGACCTCAGTTTTCCCTCTATGAACTGATGCTTATCATGCTAGGGGATCAGTCCAGGAGAAGCAACGTGCCTAAATTCTCAAGACAGAGTCTAGCCTTGAAGTGGGTCTCTGAAGTCTGGCTTTCATTGTGCTCTTCCCTGGTTCCTCTCTGTCTCCCCAATTAAGTTTTTTAAAATAAACTTAATTTCAGAACAGTTTTAAATTTACAGAATTATTGTGAAGATAACAGAGAAATTCCGTATACCCCACAGCAAGTTTTCCTTATTAACAGTTTACATTAGTGTGATGCATTCGTCACAGTTAATGAAACAATATCAGTACATTATTATTAATTAACGTCCATACTTTATTCCGATTTCCTTAGTTTTAACTTAATGTCCTTTTTCTGCTCCAAGATTCCATCCAGAATAGCATACTACATTTAGTCATCTTTTGTCTCCTTAAGCTCTTCTTGGCTATGACACTTTCTCAGGCTTTCCTTTTTTTTTAATGACCTGGAGTCATTTGAGGAGTACTGGTCAGGTATTTTATAGAATGTCCCTTAATCAGGATTAGTCTGATGTTTTCTTTCATGACTAACTGGGAATCATCCTGGCATTTGATACTTTTGTTCACCCACCCTGTTAGAGAGGGCCTCTGGTCTTCCTCTTCAGGGATGCTCTTAAGAGTCAATCGTAGGAGTCTAATATAGTTGGCCAGGGTGCTCATGTCCTTGGCTGAGGCATGGGAGGACAGGATGTTCTTTTCCCAGAGTAACATCTTGTTCCCTGTGCCCTCACTCTTCAGTCTGGACCTCTGAAAGGGAGGGCTGTTCTAGGTCTTTAAGGTCACATCTAGCCCCAAGATTTTGTCTTCACTGAAGGCCAGAGAAGACCAGACCTATTGGCTAAGACCTTAAACAGAAACCAGGAGGATAAAGAGTCATGGGCCAAATGTGCCCTAGGGCCTGTTCCCATGTTGAAACTACTTGTCTTCATATTCTTCCTAGCTTACCATCACTCATTTGCAGCACAGGGCCCTGCTCCTGGGTGGGAGGTTCCTGGGATTTCCTGGGACCAGAACTTTAAATTGCCATCTACTTCTGTGAGCAGAATCAGATTGGCAGGGACAAAACCAGATTGAAGAATGTCCCTCCTTAGGTGATCCAAAGGACCAGCACTGGCTCCCCCAATTGGGGGTGTGCAGAATGGTTGGGAAGGAATCCTATTATTCATTCAGTAAACACTTATGAGTACCTACTGTGTGCCTGAAGTACTGAACTGGGTGAAAGGGATACAGCAAGGAAACAAGATAGGGCAAGTCTTTGTCCTCCTGGAGCCTAGGGTCCAAGACAAATATTCTTAATATTTTTGTGCCATGGACCCTTTTGGTGATCTAGTGAAACCTATGGACCTTTTCTTTCTTTCTTTCTTTCTTTCTTTCTTTCTTTCTTTCTTTCTTCCTTCCTTCCTTCCTTCCTTCCTTCCTTCCTTCCTTTCCTTCTTTCTTTCTTTCAATGGAGTCTCGCTCTTGTCATCCAGGCTGGAGTGCAGTGGGGCGGTCTTGGCTCACTGTAACCTCCACCTCCTGAGTTCAAGTGATTCTCCTGCCTCAGCCTCACAAGTAACTGGGATTACAGGCACCTGCCACCACAGCAGGCTAATTTTTGTATTTTTAGTAGAGACAGGGTTTCACCATGTTGGCCCGGCTGGTCTGGAACTCCTGACCTCAGGTGATTTGCCCACCTCCATCTCCCAAAGTGCTGGGATTGCAGGCGTGAGCCACTGCGCCCAGCTGGACCTTTTCACAGAAAAAAAAATCGTTTTAAGTTCATAGAATAAAATATCTAGATTACAAAAGAAATTGGTTATATTGAAATATAGTTATTAAAATATGGAAAAAGCAAATATGTACTATAGTATAATTGTATATGTACTCCCCATTCATCCATTAAATCATAAGATTTAATGGAGGGTCTAATGACTATCATGATTTTTAAATAATCGAGATTATTATTTTCAAGAGATCTGCAATATCTATAACGTGATATGAAAATCTCTGATTTCTATCAGTGACCATCAGTACTGTTACTACTACTGCTACTATGGCTAGTTATATTCTTTATTGAAAAAATGCTAAATTTCCGTAAGAGGAGAGGGAAAATAAAGATGTAAATTTGTTCCCATCCAAATTCAAGGACCTCTCCAAACCCTGTCCCCAGACTCGATTAGAGGTCTGTAGAATCCAAATTAAGAACTCTTGCAAATAAGAGGGTCCTTCCCTTCTCTCCTTCCTTCTTAAACAGCTTTCCTTTGGAAGACGAAAGGCCTGAGTTTTATTCTGGGTCTTATTGCGCCGACTGCCGGCGGTGTATGGTGAGACGCCTTAAAGACTGGTCGTTGTGGGGAGTGGCAATGGGAAGAGACAGGGCCAGAGCGCGCGAGGGGTGGGACCTGCTGTGTGACTTCAAATAAGTTAGTTTGCCTCTCTGGGTCGGAAGTTCTGTCCGCCTGAGCACTGGGAAAGAACTTGGAGGAGAGAACTTAATTATTTATCCCCCAGGCAACTGATTTATATGTTCTCTCATTTTATCGTCACGCATTGTGAGGAAAATTTCAAAACATCTTTCCATTTCCAGATGGTTAAACTGAGGCACCTAGCAAGGTTGTCACTTGACCGTGTCTCAGTATCAGGGACCGGTGGGTGCCGCGCCACATCCCTATAACCACCTCATCCTCCATGCATGTGGAATTAGGAACTCTGCTCACTTTGAGCGAGAGAAAACTGGCTCAGGGATCCCTGCAGGTGGGTGTGGAGCCGTGGGAAACTGGGTGCGAATCGCGTCTCTTAGCAGAGCAGAGGCAGTGCAAGGTGGCTTATGGAGAGTAAGACGTCAAAGAAGCCAAGCATCTCTCGATTGTTCGGTGACTCGCGCCTGCGTATTCCCAACGAGCCCCCCACCAACCCCGTCAAATAGACCGGAAACTGATAAAGACAAGAACTCCTTTCCTGGCCAATCCTGTTAAAGTGTGGGCTTGGCTCTTAAACCAACCAAAGTCCCCCGAAGGGGCAGAATTTTCCTAAATTTGGATCTAAGCCTCGGGGACAGAAATAAAGTGCCTCCATTCCCAACCAATCCCAGGAAAGGCAGAAGGGCAATCCTCCAATGGGAGCCGGGGAGCTGTCCGTAGCGGCGTAGGTCCGTGCTCCTGCTCGCGCTCCAGCCCGCGGAAGGGTCGCGTTCAGTGTATCTTCCAGATCATGCTGTAAGGTCCTCGTATCAACGCGTGCGCGCGCGCGACGGCGACGGCGGCGGCGACGACGGCGGCGGCGACAGGAGCGTTTGCGCCGACGCTGACGGCAGGAGGTGTAAGGTAAGAAGCCCTGGACGTCTTATTTTCTTTTTCCATCCTGAGCTCCTTTGACCAGGCCTTAGGGAACTCACCTTCGGTTATCAGCAAAATTCCGTTTATTCTCATCCTGGCATCCTGGCGGTTGGGGGGAGTAGCAGCGGGAAGAGGCCGGCCGGAGCGTGCGAGGGGTGGGGCCTGCGCGAGCTTTTAACTGGGCGGCCTCTAAACCCTAGGTCAGCTGGTAGCGGAGGATCCTGCGGGTAGCAAAGAGAGGCCGAATAGTCCTGCGGCTCCCAGCCGGCAACCAAGTGAGTACCCTGCAGAACACTCGGTGCCCGGTGCTGTCCTCCGCGGCCCCACCTGCTACCCTCGGGGTCTTTCGAAATGATTCCGTGCAGGCCTGCCGCTCACAGGATCATCTGCGTTCGTGTCTGTGTCTGCATATCCTCTCCCATTTCTGTCTCTTTCTGTCTGTCTCCCTTTTGAGACATAGTAGACATAAGATGCTGACCTGACCAGTTTAAACCAGCTATGAGACCTTGAGCCATCTCCTTCACCCACCTGGGCCTCAGTTTCCTCATCTGTCAAATGGGGATCTAATAATCTGTACCTGAGACAGTGCATGTGCGTTACTTTGCCTAGCACTCTGTCCCTAGAAGATTTTCAATAAATAATGACTATCTTGATTCAAAAGCATATTGTCTCTCTTGATCTCTGTCTTTTCTGTCTCTGACCTTTTCTCCATTGGATCTTTCGGAATGCTTGTCTTTCTCTGTTACTGTTTTTCCTCTTTTTACTTGTTTCTTTCTTAACCCTAAAGAGGCTAGAGGTGCATAGTTTATAGCAATAAGTTTGGCCCGAGGACATGAGCTTAGCCCGGGGCTCCTACCTGTGCTGTGGGTGAAAAATGGAGCCTGGCTTTGGGTTACTTCTGGTCTCATTGAGGAGAGAACTCTCTTTGCTCCCCAGCCTACTCTGTTAAACAGGTAAAGACACCCAAAGTGGGCAGCAACTTAGATTAAAAAACTTTTTAATGGCCCCTTATATAAGGTTAGTCACTACAAGAAGCCCACAGATCTCCTGGTTACATCTCCATACAGCCCTGGACATCCTATTTTCTGTTTCCATCCTGAAATCCTTTGACCAGGCCTTAAGGAACTCACCTTCAGCTATCAGCAAAATTCCCTCCATTCTCATCCTGGCTTCTGAATACTGCCTTTATTTTCTCACTATGCTTTGGTCGTTCTCATACCTGTTGGACCCAACATTGCTTTCTTTATATATATAAGGTATATCTTGGAATGCTTTGCTATTCTAAAATGAAGTGCATAGAAAATAGAATCTATCTACACACATAATTCCCTGAAAACTAATACAATACCCTAATTGTAATATAGGGAGTAGTAAAGGAAGAGTAATATATAAAATTATTATATAATATCACATAATATATAATATTACTGTATATTACATCATATGTATTTAAAGACTGGGATATGACTCCACTAGAAGACCTAATGAAATGGTCTTACACTTAATGATAGTGACAGCTACATGTGTGTTGATTGGTGGCTCAGAAGCCACAGGTAGGGTGACACAGTTTTCCTAAATGATGAACTTTCTTCACAAAGTTCTAAACAAAACAATGTGGATTAGTTTCTCAATTTATATGGTTCTTGAATTTCTGGAAAAATCAGTATATATTTTAAGAGGGTCTATCCATGATTAGACCCTCTTAACCTCTCTGACCTTATCTCCCACCACTCTCCCTCCTTGTTCACTCTGTCCACTCATGCTGGCCTCATTATTATTTGAACACCTTAGGAACACTTACACCTCGGGGGTTTTGTGTACTTGAAATGCTCTTTCCTCAAATATCCACAAGGCTCAGGCCCTTACTTCCTTCAGGCCTCTACTCAGCTGTCACTTTCTCAGAGGGCCCCTCTGACCATCCGGTTTAAAATCCCGGCTCTCTCCTATCATGCCCCTGCTCTATCTGTTCCGTGGCATTCTACACCTTCTTCACAGTGTAGTGTTAAGTGCTTAGTATGTTTGCTGTTGATTGTCTGACTCTCCCACTCAATTGTAAGCTCCAGAAGGGCAGGGATTTTTGTCTTTTGTGTTCTCTGATATAAACCTATTACCTAAAGTAGTGCTTGACACCTGGTAAACTTTCTCTCAGTGAATATTTGTTGAATGAATAAAAGAATAAATAAACAGGTTTTTCACCTACATGAATGTCTGCTGAGATACTCTAAAGGTGTATGGGATGTGGTATGATTCTTTGTGGTGTGAAGCTATCCTTTACACTGCAGAGGGCTGAGCGTCCCTGGTCTGTAGCCAGGGTTGTCACTGATGATCTCCAATTATTGTCACAGTCAAAAATGCCCCCCAAACAGGGCCAAGTGTGATGGCTCACACCTGTAATGCCAGCACTTTAGGAGGCCATGGTGGGTAGATCGCTTGAGTCCAGGAGTTCGAGACCAGCCTGGGCAACGTTGTAAAACCCCGTCTCTACAAAAATTAGCTGGGTGTTGTGGCACATACCTGTGGTCCCAGCTACTTGCGCAGCTGAGATGGGAGGACTGCTTGAGCCTGGGAGGAGGAGGTTGCAGTGATTTGAGATCACACCACTTCCATCCAGCCTGGGTGACAGCCAGACCCTGTCTTAAAAAAAAAAAAATAGGTCGGGCATTGTGGCTCACACCTGTAATCCCAGCACTTTGGGAGGCCAAGGCGGGTGGATCACCTGAGGTCAAGACTTCAAGACCAGCCTGGCCAACATGGTAAAACCCCATCTCTACTAATAATACAAAAATTAGCCAGACTTGGTGGCATGTGCCTGTAGTCCCAGCTACTTGGGAGGCTGAGGTAGGAGAATCACTTTTTTGAGATGGAGTTTCGCTCTTGTTACCCAGGCTAGAGTGCAATGGCACGATCTTGGCTCACCGCAACCTCCGCCTCCTGGGTTCAGGCAGTTCTCCTGCCTCAGCCTCCATTATAGGCACGCACCACCATGCCCAGCTAATTTTTTGTATTTTGAGTAGAGACGAGGTTTCACCATGTTGACCAGGATGGTCTCGATCTCTTGACCTCATGATCCACCCGCCTCAGCCTTCCAAAGTGCTGGGATTACAGGCTTGAGCCACTGCACCTGGCCTGTTCTGTTTTTTTTGAGATGGAATCTCACTCTGTTGCCCAGGCGAGAGTGCAGTGGCATGATTTTGGCTCACTGCAACCTCTGCCCCCCAGGTTCAAGTGATTCTCCTGCCTCAGCCTCCCGAGTAGCTGGGACTACAGGCACATACCACCATGCCCAGCTAATTTTTGTATTTTTAGTAGAGACGGGGTCTCACCATGTTGGCTAGGCTGGTCTTGAATTCCTAACCTCAAGTGATCCACCCACCTCAGCCTCCCAGATTGCTGGGATTACAGGTGTGAGCCACCAGGCCTGCCCAAGAATTTTTGAACATAAAATAATTTCAGACTTTTAAAAAGCTGCAAAAATTTACAAGAATTCTCATATATTCTTCACTTAGATTTTCCAAATGTTAAGAAATTATATAACTACAGTCTGGGTGCAGTGGCTCACACCTGTAATCCCAGCACTTTGGGAGGTTGAGGGGGTGGATCACCTGAGGTCAGGAGTTCAAGACCAGCCTGGCCAACGTAGTGAAACTCCATCTCTACTAAAAATACAAAAATTAGCTGGGTGTGGTGCCACACACCTATAATCCCAGCTACTTGGGAGGCTGAGGCAGGAGAATTGCTGGAACCCAGGAGGCAGATGTTGCAATGAGCTGAGATCGCACCACTGCACTCTAGCCTGGGCGACATAGACTCTATCTCAAAAAAAAAAAAAAAAAAGAAAGAAATTATATAATTACAGTTTAACTACAAAATTAACATTGGTACATACAGGCATATCACAGGTTCAGTTCCAGACCAACACAATAAAGCAAGTCAGATGAATTTTTTGGCTTCTCAGTGCATATAAAAGTTATGTTTACATCGTACTATAGTCTATTAAGTATATAATAGCATTGTATCAAAAAAGTATATACCTTAATTTTAAAATGCTATATTCCTAAAAAATGCTAATGATCATCTGAGGCTTCAGCAAGTTGTAATTTTTTGCTGGTGAAGGGTCTTACCTCGGTGTTGATGGCTGCTGACTGAACAGGGTGGTGGTTGCTGGTTGGGGTGGCTATGGCAAATTCTTAAAATAAGACATTAATAAAGTTTGCTGCATTGACTCTTGCTTTCATAAAAGGTTTCTCTGTAGCACGTTATTCTGTTTAATAGCATTTTATCCACAGTAGAACTTCTTTCAAAACTGGAGTCAGTCCTCTCAAACCCTGCTACTGCTTTGTTAGGATTACGTAATACTCTAAATCCTTTGTTGTCATTTCCACAGTATTCCCAGCATCTTCGCCAGGAGTAGATTCCATCCCAGGAAATCACTGTTTTGCTCACCCATAAGAAGCAACTCCTCATCTACTAACTTCTTTTCTGAGACGGGATCTCACCTCTATCACCCAGGCTAGAGTGTAGTGGCACAGTCATGGCTCACTCTAGCTCTCCCAGGCTCAAGCAGTCCTCCTGCCTCAGCCTCCCAAGTAGCTGGAAGTATGGGTGCGGGCCACCATGCCCAGCCAATTTTAAAAATTTTGCAGAGGTGGAGTCCTGTTATGTTGTCCAGGCTAGTCTCTAACTCCTGGCCTCAAGCAATCTTCCTGCCTCAGCCTCTGGAGTAGCTGGGACCACAGGTATATGCCACCATGCCCAGGAATTTTTAAAAATATTTATGTGGATACAGGGTCTCACTTCGTTACCCAGGCTCTATTAAAGTTTTATCATGGGTCAGGTGCAGTGGTCACACCTGTAATCTCAGCACTTTGGGAGGCCAAGGCGGGTAGATCGCTGAGGTCAGGAGTTCAAGACCAGCCTGGCCAGCATGGTGAAACCCCGACTCTACTAAATATACAAAAAAATTAGCCAGGTGTGGTGGTGGGTGCCTGTAATCCCAGCTGTTCAGGAGGCTGAGGCAGGAGAATCTCTTGAACCCAGGAGGTGGAGGTTGCAGTGAGTTGAGACCACACCACTGTACTCCAGCCTGGGCAACAGAGCGAGACTCCATCTCAAGAAAAAAAAAAGTTTTGTCGTGAGATGGCAGCAGTTCAGTCACTTCTTCAGACCCCACTTCTAATTCTGATTCTCTTGTTATTTCCACCATCTCTGCAGTTACTTCCTCTTCTGAAGTCTTGAACCCCTGAAAGTCATCCCTGAGGGTTGGAGTTAACTTCTTCTACACTCCTGTTAATGTTGATATTTTGACCTCTCATGTATCACAGATGTTCTTAATGACTTCTAGAATGGTGAGTCCTTTCCAGAATATTTTCAATTTACTTTTCCCAGATCCATCAAAGGAATCACTGTCTTTGGCAACTATAGCCTTACGGAATGTATTTTCTAAATAATAAGATCTGAAAGTCAGTATTACTCCTTGATACATGGGCTGCAGAATGGATGTTGTGTTAGCAGGCATGAAAACAGTGTGAATCTCCTTGTACATTTCCATCAGAGCTCTTAGGTGTTCGGGTACATTGTCAATAAACAGTAATATTTTGAATGGAATCTTTTTATCTGAGTGCCAGGTCTCAGCAGTGGGCTTAAAGTATTTAGTAAACTATGCTATAAACAGATTTGCTGTCATCCAGCCTTTGTTGTTCCATTTATAGAGCACAGACAGAGTACAAAGACCCTAGGATTTTCAGAATGGTAAATGAACACTGGCATCAAGTTAAAAGTCACCAGCTGCATGAGCCTCTAATAAGAGAGTCATCCTGTCCTTTGAAACTTTGAAGCCAGGCATTGACTTCTCTCTAGCTGTGAAAGTCCTAGATGGCATCTTCTCCCAACATAAAGCTGTTTCATCTACATTGAAAATCTGTTGGCCGGGTGCAGTGGCTCACATCTGTAATCCCAGCACTTTAGGAGGCTGAGGTGGGCGGATCACGAGGTCTGGAGTTTGAGACCAGCCTGGCCAACATGGTGAAACCCTATCTCTACTAAAAATACAAAAATTAGCCAGTCGTGTTGGCGGGTGCCTGTAATCCCAGCTACTCAGAAGGCTGAGGCAGGAGAATCACTTGAAACTGGAAGGCGGAGATTGCAGTGAGCCAAGATTGCACCCCTGCACTCCAGCCTGGGCAACAAGAGTAAAACTGTCTTTAAAAAATAATAATAATAAAAACAAAATCTGTGGTTCATCAACTGTCTTGGCTAGATTTTTCCTCATAAATTCCTGCAGCTTCTACATCAGTACTTGTTGCTCCACCTTGCTCTTTTATGTTATGGAGATGGCTTCTTTCCTTAAACCTCATGAACCAACTTTTACTGGCTTTCAACTTTTCTTCTTGCAGCTTCCTTACCTTTCTCAGCCTTCATAGAATTGAAGAGAGTTAGGGCCTTGCTCTGAATTAAGCTTTAGCTTAATGAAATCTTGTGGCTGGTTTGATTGTCTAGCCAGACCACCGAAACTTTCTCTATATCCACAATAACACTGTTTCACTGTCTTATCACTCATGTGTTCACTGGAATAGCACTTTTAATTTCCTTTGAAAACTTTTCCTTTGCATTCGCAACTTGGCTAACTGTTCGGCGTGAGAAGCCTAGCCTTTGGCCTCTCGGCTTTCAACATGCCTTCCTCACAAACCTTAATTATTTCCAGCCTTTGATTTAAAGTGAGAGATGTTGAAGGCCGGGTGCAATGGCTCATGCCTGTAATCCTGGCAGTTTGGGAGGCTGAAGCGGGAGGACTGTCTGAGCTCAGGAGTTCCAGACCAGCGTGGGCAAGATGGCAAGACCCCATCTCTAAAAAATAAAATAAGTAAATAAAGTGAGAGATGTTGAGACTCTTCCTTTCACTCGAATACTTAGAAGCCATTGTGGGGTTATTAATTGGCCTAATTTCAATATTGTTGTGTCTCGGAATAGGGAGGCCTGAGGAGAGGGAGAGAAACAGAGGAATAGCCCATCAGTGGAGTAGTCAGAACATACATATTTGTCAGTTCAGTTTGCCATCTTTTTTTTGTTTTGTTTTTCTGTTTGTTTGGTTTTTTTTTTGAGACAGAGTCTCACTCTCTCATCAGGCTGGAGTGCAGTGGCGCCATCTCGGCTCACTGCAACCTCCGCCTCCTGGGTTCAAGCAATTCTCCTGCCTTAGCCTCCCAAGTAGCTGGAATTACAGGCATGCGCCACCATGCCCAGCTAATTTTTGTATTCTTAGTAGAGACAGGGTTTCACCATGTTAGCCAGAATGGTCTCGATCTCTTGACCTTGTGATCCGTCCACCTCGGCCTCCCAAAGTGCTGGGATTACAGGCGTGAGCCACCACATCCAGCCCAGTTTGCCATCTTTTTTTTTTTTTTTTTTTTTGAGATGGAGTTTTGCTCTTGTTACCCAGGCTGGAGTGCAATGGCGCGATCTCGGCTCACTGCAACCTCCGCCCCCTGGGTTCAGGCAATTCTCCTGCCTCAGCCTCCTGAGTAGCTGGGATTACAGGCACATGCCACCATGCCCAGCTAATTTTTTGTAATTTTTAGTAGAGACGGGGTTTCACCATGTTGACCAGGATGGTCTCGATCTGTTGACCTCGTGATCCACCCGCCTCGGCCTCCCAAAGTGCTGGGATTACAGGCTTGAGCCACCGCGCCTGGCCTGCCATCTTATACTGGTTTGGTTCATGGTACTCTAAAACAGTTACAATAGTTACACCAAAATCACTGATCTAGGCAGGGTGCAGTAGCTCACGCCCATAATCCTAGCACTTTGGGAGGCCGAGGTGGGCAGATTGCTTGAACTCAGTAGTTCAAGACCAGCGTGGGCAAGATGGTGAAACTCTGTCTCTGCAAAAAATACAAAAATTAAGCTGGGCGTCGTGACATGTGCCTCCAGTCCCAGCTACTCGGGGAGGCTGAGGCAGGAGAATCGCTTGAGCCCAGGAGGCAAAGGCTGCAGTGAGCTGGGATCACACAACTGCACTCCAGCCTGGGCAATAGTCTTGAAACCCTGTCTCAAAAAAAAAAAAAAAAAAAAAAGCACTGATCACAGATCACTGTAACAGATAGAATAAAAGGTTTGAAATGTGAAAATTACCAAAATGTAGGACAGAGACACTAAGTGAATACATGCTGTTGGAAAAGTGGTACTAATAGATTTGCTCAATGCAACATTGCCACAAACCTTCAATTAGTGAAAGACATAGTATCTGTGAAGTGCCATAAAGTGCAACACAATAAATGAGCTATTGCCTGTACTCTTAATGAAACTGCAGGGTTTATTTAGATTACATCAGTTTTTCCACTAGTGCCACATTTCTTTTCAAGGATTCCGTTCAGGCTCCCACATTACATTTAGTCATCATGCTTCCTTGGGCATTAACAATATGGAACAGTTCTTTAGTCTTTCTTTGTCTTTTATTATTTTGACCATTTAGAAGAGTCCTGGACAGTTATTTCATAGAATTTGGATTTGTCTCAAGTTTCACTGTGATAATATTCAAGTTGTGTAATTTTAGTGAGAATACTGCAGAAGAGAAGTTATGTCTTCAGTGCTTCCTGTCAGGAGGCACGTGATGTCATTTTGTCCTGATACTGGTTTTGTTCACTTTGAGTCCTTGTTTAAGGTGGTGTCTGTCAGGTTTTTCCACTGTAGTTCCTCTTTTTTCCTTCGTGATTTTTTTTTTTTTTTTTTTTTTGAGACAGAGTTTTGCTCTTGTTACCCAGGCTGGAGTGCAATGGCGCATCTCGGCTCACCGCAACCTCCGCCTCCTGGGTTCAGGCAATTCTCCTGCCTCAGCCTCCTGAGTAGCTGGGATTACAGGCACACACCACTGTGCCCAGATAATTTTTTGTATATTTAGTAGAGACGGGGTTTCACCATGTTGACCAGGATAGTCTCGATCTCTCGACCTCGTGATCCACCCGCCTTGGCCTCCCAAAGTGCTGGGATTACAGGCGTGAGCCACCGCGCCCAGCCCTCCTTCATGATTAGTAGGTGATTTAATACTTTGAGATTATGTAAATATCAACCACCCTGTTGTAAATCTCAAATCATCAGAATATACCATCAACTACCACTTTGTATCATCATATACAGACATACACACATATCTGCCCCTGTCATTACCATTTCTACATTAGCTATGATCTCGCTGTCATTCTTTTTAACACTGGTCCAGTCCTAATTCTTGGTGATTTTAGTATCTTTATAGCTGATCCTTCCAGTATTTTCATCTGTCAGTTCTGTGATTTACTACCCCACAATGATCTTGCCTTTCAGTTCCTCCTCAGCTACCTACTCCAATAGTCTGACTTTTTTTTTTTTTTTTTTTTGAGACAGAGTCTCACTCTGTCACCCGGGCTGGAGTGCAGTGGTACGATCTCAGCTCACTGCAGCCTCTGCCTTCCGGGTTCAAGTGATTTTCCTGCCTCAGCCTCCAGAGTAGCTGAGATTACAGGTGCCTGCCACCACACCCAGCTAATTTTTGTAGAGAAGGCATTTCACCATGTTGGCCTGGCTGGTTTCAAACTCCTGACCTCAAGTGATCACCCTACTCAGCCTCCCAAAGTGCTGGAATTACAGGCATGAGCCACCACATCGGGCCTGACCTTTGGTCTTATCAGTACCCATGACTGCATTGTTTCCATATACTCAGTTTCAAGAAGCCAGTACCTCCTATTTTTCTAGCCCACCCCAGCTAGTACTCCAGCTCCAGCAGTCCTTCAACCCCACTGGGACTGAACGTTTTCACTTCCTTCACTTCCCCCATGCTCCCATGTTCCTCCTTTAATCAGCTTAGATTCCATGGCCCACTGTTACAATCATTCCTGGGCAGAGTCTCACATCCCTTTGCCCTCTGTCACTTCAGCGTACTTACCGTCCACTTTACAGGGCATAGCCTCAGCCTTGGCTAAATCCAGCTCTCTGCTCCATTGCATTTCCTCTCCTGCCCTCCTAGATTGTTTCATACCTTCTCTCCTGACATCTTCAACATTTCCTCTCCCATCCTTACACTCAGGCTTCTTACTTGACTGAAAAAAATGAAAACCATTGGAATAAAACATCTACCAATTCCCACCATGACATCCAACCACCACACAGCATCTGTACACATATACTCTGCCTTCGTCTCTGTTCTAGATAAGCTACTCCTACTGTCATCAAAATCTTGTCTCTCTCTACTTTGTCACTTGATCCTATTGTCTCTCACCTACTTGAGGACATGGTTCTACCAGTTTTCCCCTCTCTGCAAGATCATTCTCATTAGCACATAGACATTCTGTTACTTCTTCCATCTTTTCATTGCAACTTC